TCTCTCTCTCTCTCTCTCGCTGCTGCGAGGCCACAGTGCCTGACCTTGTTCTTTCATCCAGAAACTGCAACCACTTCGCCTCGGAGTTCGCCACCTTCCTCACTGGGACTCCCTCCCCGGGCTGGGTCAACCGCCTGGCTCGCTTTGCCACGGCTGTTCCCTGTCTGGTGCCGCAGTTCCTGATTGAGCCGCCCACGGCGGATTTCTATGAGCAGATGGGCATGAGCCCGCCACCTCCGCCACCACCGATTTCTGGCTCGTCCAGCAATGCCACCGGCCGGGGGGGTTCCTCTGCCGGGGCAGCCCGGCAGCAGGTCCCTGGCGGTGGCCCTCGGCCGATCAACACCATGACCGGGCCATCGCGCACCCTCGGTGATGGCGGAGCCGTGTCGACTGGCAGCAGCCCGGGCATGCGGTCGCGCACGGTGGCCGGCCTCTCCTCGCACTCCGGGGCCACAACCGCCTCGGCGGGCGCCTCTTCCAGCACATCCTTCCAGCGCCTGTCCTCGGTAAATGCCTCCTCCTCATCGGCGCATGCGGCGCATCTTGTGGCCAGCACCACGGCCGCCAACAGCATGGACTCCATGCAGGATCTCTGACAAGGGGAAGAAAACACATGTGACCGGAGGGGCGGGCAGGGGATCGACCTCTCTTCCCTTTTTCTCATGCTTGGGCACACGTATGTTTGTGTGTGGGTGTGTGTGTGCGCGCGTGTATATGACTGTCTTTGAGCATGCATTTGATCATCCCATCACTCCCATGTCCGAGTGCGTGCATGTGTGCATGCACACGCAGAGGCCTTTCTCGTCTCCCTTCTGCCTCTCCCTCGCAGAATGTACATTCTCCCTCCTCTGCCTGGCCTATATGCAGGGATTCGTATTCGCCGTCGTGAGCGGGCTCCGAGGCGCGTTCGTGTGGGTGTGTCGGGGGGGGAGACGGCGGCCGCGGCGGGAGGTGTGTTCGTCGTGTGCATCCAGCCGGCGGCGCGCCCTCGGATGGGGGGGAACATCACATCCCAACGCAAGCGCGAAGGTATTGTCGATGCGCCGGCAGTCAGAATCACATGCTCAAACCCTAGGGCGTCTGTCAAGGCTCGGCAGCGTTCCGCGGCCCAGAGAATGAAGCGTGAGGGGCATGGGGCCGGGCCCGGAGCCGAGAGTCGCCCGAGGTGGCCGGGCCGTCGTTGGGGGGCGGGGGTGCATCCTGCGGGGCCGGACAACCCCTCTCCGCCTGGGGAAGAGCATGGGGGGGGGGGGGCGAGGGAGAGGAGACTTCTCGCCACAGGAGAGTGCTAGCAGGCGTTTGCGAAGGTAAGACGAAGGGCCACCGGGGAGAGCATGGGTCTCAGGCGGTCGTCCCGAGCATGTTTGACAGTTGGGTTCTAGCCACTAGAGGCGGCGGGCCCTCAAAACCGGCAAGGGTTGATTTGTACGTTTCGGCCATCGCCTGGGGGCGGCATTGCCGGAGGAGGGGGAGGGCGGTGCCGGGGGCATTTGAGCCACCTGGTCGTGGCCGGCCGTCCTCCTTCGGGCGGGGCAGAGAGGGGGCGGGGAGAGGGGGGGGCCTGTTAACAAAGGGCCCAGGAGACCGATCATGCTTTCGGCGTCCTCGCCAGCCCCAAGGACTTGGAAAGGAAGCTGGCTCAGGCGGCCACGGGAGCTCCCAGCGGAGGGGAGCCGGGTGCGCGCGCGCGCGCGCGCGCCCGGAGCCTCACCCGACGTTGGGCGAGAGAAAGGGGCGCTGGCGGCACACTCCGCCGCAATCGGACGGGGCTGACACCGCCGAGCACACGCGCCGGAGGGCTGCTTCTCGAGAAGGCGCCGGAGCGTTTTTCATTTGTGGTTGGAGTCTCCCTGCTCGGAGACACCATCGCCACCGTGACATGTGTAGAGGCACTTTCCTCCGGGCCCGGCGCTTTGTCGCCCGACAGAGCCTGGCAACAAACATCCTTTTTTACATGGACAATTGTGTTATCTCTCTCTCTCTCTCCCTCGCTATTCCAGGAGGTGTTATTGTTTCTCCCCCCCCCCCCCCCTCCGGTTGAACGGCCCGAGGGAATGCCCGGGGGTGGCGAAGGGGGCGGCGCGAGGAAGAAGGCTCTTTTCTGAGGTGGCGTCTACCCGCCAGCGCCCCCTGGGGGAGGGGGGGGGGAAGGGGGGGCGGGAGTCGCGCCCAGCCCAGCGAGCCCCACGTCCAGTGGGTTCCCGCGCGAACGCCAGTGTGTGGGCGGGGGTGCACATGCATGTGTGTTTGGAGCGTGTGTGGCCCCTCCCCTCTTCCTTGCAGGGGGGAGGGGGGGGGGGGGGGAAATGTCGCCCCGAGCTCCTGCTTCTCTTGGCACACAACGCCAAAGGACATCTTTTTGTGGACCGGCGACGAGGCCCCGCCGTTCCCTTCCCGAGCAGAGTGCCTTCCCTCTGGTTTTCCCCGCTACCTTGTATGCTCCCTCTGTCTCTCCCCCTTCCCCCTCACCCTCGCCTCCCCTGTCTGGGCCTTCTCCATGCCTTTGCACCGGTTCCCGTCGGCTGTGTTCGCCTTCTCTTCCTGTTTTCCGTCCTTGACTCCCCCCCCCCCCCCCTTTCCCCCTCTCCTCTCCCCCTCTCCTCTCCCCCTTCTTCCGTCCCCGACAGACGTAGAGACCCATATCACTCTCTGACCCCCCTGCCTTCCGTCTCCGTCTCTTCCCCCGGGGGTCCCCTGCCGTCTCCTCCATTCGCGCACCCAAATACGCAGAGAGTCCGCACTTAGTCAATATGAGCTCGTACGAAGAGATCGAGGCCCGCGATGGTGTCCGCTTCAGCTGGAACCTCTGGCCCAACACCCGTGTCGAGGCCACCCGCATGGTGGTCCCCATCGGGGCTCTCTACACCCCGATGCGCCCCCAGCCCGCCGGCATCAATCCCGTCTACTATGACCCCGTCTCCTGTCGCCCCCCCTGCCGCGGCATTCTGAACCCCTACTGGTGCGCCTTCCCCCTGCGTCACTCGCGAATGCTCACCGATTTACCAACCCTTCTGGCCCCGGTTTCCCCCCCCCCCTCTCTCTCTCTCCCTCTCTCCCACTTCTCGGGCCCTCGGCTCCTCCCCGACACAGCCATGTGGACTTCAAGCACAAGATCTGGCAATGCCCGTTCTGCTCGAATCGCAATCAGTTCCCTCCCCACTATAAGGACCTCTCCGAGACCAACATGCTGGCTGAGCTCCTCCCCCAGTACACCACCATCGAGTATACCCTCAGCCGGCCGGTCCTCAACCACCCGGTCTTCCTGTACGTCGTGGACACGTGCATCGAGCCGGATGAGCTGCAGGCCCTGCGCGCGTCCCTGGTGGCCTCGTTGAGTCTCCTCCCGCCGACGGCCATTGTTGGTCTGATTACTTTCGGCAACATGGTATGTGCATGCCCACCGCACCGTGTCGTGCCCCTCCCCCCTCCCCTCTCTATTTGCCTCTATCTCCCTCGACTTCATTTCTGCGTCTGACTCTCCCTTTCCACTTCCTCACGCGCACTCGCACTCGCACGCACAGGTCAATGTCCATGAGCTGGAGAACGAGGACTGCACCAAGACCTACGTCTTCCAGGGAACCACCGACTACCCTTCTGCCAAGATCCAGAAGCTGCTCGGTCTGTCCTCTGGCCGGCCCATTCAGATGCCCGGCAACCAGACTCCCATCCCGACCTTTTCGGCTGCGCGGTATGCCCTAACTCGTGGCCATGCATCACACACTGTTTCCTTTCTCTCTCTCTCTCTCTCTCCCTCCCGCTAACCTTGCGCCATTCCTGCCACCTGCTCCACCGGAACCTCACCTTGTCTTGCTCTCTCTCTCTCTCTCTCTCCCCCCTCCCCTCTCCCTCCTTCGTTGCACAAAACAGCTTCTTCCAGCCGATTCGGCAGTGTGACATGAACCTCACTCTCACCTTTGAGAACCTAATGCGCGACCCGTGGCCTGTTCGCCCGCAGAACCGCCCTCTGCGCTCCACTGGCGCGGCCCTCTCCATCGCCGTCGGCCTTCTTGAGGTGCGCATGAGGTGTTTCCCCTCGTTGTCCTGTCCCCCCCCCCCATGGGTTCTAACTCTTCTCTCTCTCTCTCTCTCTCCCCTCTCGCCCCTCTCGCCCCTCTCGCCCCTCTCGCCCCTCTCACCCCTCTCGCCCTCCTCTCCCTGCTTCTTGCACACCCATCAGTCTGCCTTCCCCACCTCCGGTGCACGCATCATGACTTTCTTGCGTGGCGCCTGCACCCAGGGGCCCGGCATCGTGGTCTCCAGTGACCTGCGCGAGACCATCCGCACGCACGCCGACATCGACAAGAACAACGCCAAGAAGATGGCCAAGGCCACCAAGGTGCGACCGTTCTTCACCATCTCTCCCCCCTCTGGCGAGCATGCATGTCCCTTCACACGCTCCAAGATGAATCTCACCATGCTGACCTCGTCGTTGTGCCTTTTCACTCCTCTTCCATCTCCCCTCCGTCTCCCTCCGTCTCCCTCCGTCTCCCTCCCTCTCATGCCACGGCGCGCAGTTCTACGACGATCTCGCCAAGCGCCTCACCAACAACGGCCACACGGCCGATGTTTTCATCGCCTCCATCGAGCAGGCCGGCCTTCGTGAACTCAAGTCCATGGTCGACCTGAGCAATGGTCTTTGCGTCCTGACGGACTCCTTCAAGACCGACGTCTTCCGGCACTCGCTAATCCGGCATCTGAGCGGGACCCCGGCGGCCGCGGCGGCCCCCGCCGACCCGTCTCAGCCCCAGGCGGCCCCGGCTCCCGAGACCGGGCTGGCCATGGGTTTCAACGCCACCTTCGAGGTGCTGACCAGTCGCGAGTTGAAGGTGTCCGGGCTCATTGGCAATGCCACCTCGCTTGGGGTCAAGGCGGCCAACATCAGCGACACGGAGATCGGCCTGGGTGGGACCAACGCCTGGCGCATTTCGTCCCTCTCGCCGCAGACCACCCTCGGCGTGTACTTCGACCTGGTGCAGGCCAACCAGCCGCTGGATGTCAATCGCTGTGCCTTTGTGCAGTTCCTTACTACCTACCAGCATCCGTCTGGGTATTACCGTCTGCGGGTGACCACCGTGTCGCGACACATCATCGAAGGGAACCCCCAGTACCTGGCCAGCGGGTTTGACCAGGCCGCGGCCGCTGTGCTCATGGCCCGCATTGCGGTGCTCAAGTCCGAGACGGATGACGGCCCGGATGTCCTGCGCTGGCTGGATCGCATGCTGATTCGCCTGTGTCAGCGCTTTGCCAACTACACTCGCGACGATCCGCGCTCCTTCACCCTCTCGCCCAACTTTTCTCTTTATCCCCAGGTGATGTTCCACCTTCGCCGGTCGCAATTCCTCCAGGTGTTCAACTACTCCCCGGATGAGACTGCCTATTTCCGTCATTCGCTTCTGCAGGCCGACACCAGCAGCTCCATGACCATGATCCAGCCGGCCCTCTTCAGCTACTCCATCGACGGGACCAGCAAGCCGGTCATTCTGGACTCCAACAGCGTCACTCAGGAGACCATTCTCCTGCTGGACACCTTCTTCGAGATGATCATTCTCCATGGCGCGGTGCGTTTTTCTTTCTCTCTCTCTCCCTCTCTCTCTCTCTCTCCCTCTCTCTCTCCCTCTCTCTCTCCCTCTCCCTCTCTCTCTCTCCCTCTCTCCCTCTCCCTCTCTCTCTCTCTCTCTCTCTCTCTCTCTCTCTCTTGCGCGCGCACACACACACACAAACACACGCACTATCCTCGCTTGCTTCCTTTGTTTCTCCCTTCTTTTGTCTCGTGTTCGCCCCCCCCCCCAGCTCTGACCCCTCTTCTCTCCCCCCCCCGGAAATTCCCCAGACCATTGTCTTCTGGGTCAAGGATGGCTACCACAAGCGCCCGGAGTATGAGAACCTGCGCACCTTGCTGCAGGCGCCGCATGATGACTTGAAGGCTCTGGTTGCCGGCCGGTCTCCCTATCCGAAGGTCCTCATCTGCGACATGGGCGACTCCCAATCGCGCTTCATGCTGGCCAAGCTCAACCCCTCGACCACGCACGTCAGCGGCGCGTCTCAGGGTGTTGCCGTTCTCACGGATGACGTCAGCTTCCAGGTGTTCATGGACCACCTCACCAAGCTGGCTGTCTCCTCGTCCAACTGAGTTAGGTTAGGTGCATGCATGTGTGTGCCCGTGTCGCTGTCTGTGTGTCTCTGTATCTGCACCCCTCCCCCCTCCCTCCCCCCTCCCTCCCCCCTCCTCCTCAGACCCACAAAGGGAGAGAGCCAGGGAGTGCGCGGGCAGGCCAGCGCGATAAAGGAAGGAACAAGAGCCAGGAAGAGAGAGCGAGAATAAGGGGGAGGGGGGAGCCACATGCGAAGAAGCGAGCAGAGCACAGGAGGGGAGGCCGAGAGAATAGCTCCAAACGCACCGGAGTTTGTGCGAGCTGGTGCCCTTGAGTGACTGTGCACCTGCACGCGTGCATGCCTATCTGCGCTTTTCCCTCTCTCCGGCACGCCTCCCTTCTTTCCCCTCGCCCTGCACCCCCTCCCTTCCTCTCCTCCCCTTCCTGCCGCCCTCCCCCCTATCCCGTCTTGGCAAACGCATCACCGGCCTACAGCAAATCCCTCTCGGAGGCCTGGTGGTGCGCGCTCTGCCTTTCCCCTTGAGCCACCCCCATTCCTCTTCCTCCATGTCTTTCCTCCCCTCCCCTTGGAGGAGGCCGCGCAGCGTTTCGTCCAAAGGCTTGTCGCGTCTGCCACTTCTCAGAGTCCCCCCCCCCCTCCCCCTACAACACGGACATGCGTGCTCGTGTGACCCCCCCCCCCAACAAGAATATCCAAAGAATAAAGTCCCCAGCGTTGTCGCCGACACATAGACACCACCATCTTCTCTTCAGGAGGAGCGAGAGTTGGACCTCCTCGCCGCCTTTCGTGTGCCGGGCTCCGGGGATTTCATCATTCGCGTGTGTACCACGCAGCCGGTGGGAAAAGTGTCCTCCTCGGAGGAGACGGCGTGGCGGCGTTCGGGCCATCGGGGACCCGCGCCATGTTTGCTTCGCGGCCTGTGCAGGATTCCATTCACGCCCCGCCGCCGGACTGGCCGGATCCCAGCCAACGGACCAGGGCGGGACAAAGGGCAAGCTCCCATGTTCATTGGCAACTGCGAGGCACATATCACGTGCGACGAGTTGACTATCCTCGACCCTAAACTCGAAATTATCGTCATATTTTAATCCGCAGCGACCGGTGTTTACTGTGGGATGCCCGGTGTCGCGTGTGACCGCGCTTTCGTTACACCTTGAAATGTGGTGGCGGGCGCCACCTCCAGTGGAAAGTGAGGGAGACCAGCAGCAGCTGGATATCCACCGGCGGGCATGCGGCAGGAATGGACTTCCTGGGGCGGGAGGGCGACTCGGGGCGATACTCGCCCGTCAGTTGCGACCACTTTTCAGGGAAAGGCAGATTTGGACGGATGTGCGACCAGGGTGTTACCCCACAATCGAGCGGGCAAAAGCACCCGTGAGTTGGCCACCTTCTGCCGGGCCTTTTGCCGCCCTATATGGAGTGGCCGGGAACCGGGAGACCAAGGCCTGCGCCGCAGACCACGAGGAGGCGTGGGGATCGGGCATGGGGATGCCATTGACCCGGGCGCTGGGAACAATGTTATTAATATTCCCGGTCTTGACTCGGATGTTTATTTTGGGCAGCCAACCGAGACCCCTGCTCGCGGGGGATGGGGGCGAGCTTCGTCCGGCCCTCCAATGCCGGGGGCTCCCTCCTGGGACGCGGCGATGGAGGGCGTGGGCGGGAGTGCGGGAGGGGGGGGAGGGGTGCGGAGGAGGAGACCGGAAGAGTCAAAGTAGGGCAGGCTTGACACTTCGATTCTCCCATCTATGTTGGCTTTCCAGGTCTGTGGTGTTCCTGGGGAAAGATTGAAACGCAATGATCGTGGGCTGAAAATGTGTGACGGGAGGAATTCCCGGGAGATTGGCCGTCTCCTCCGAATGTTGGACGGCTCTGTCGGTGTCTTCCCAGCCTCGTCCCTCATCCGGCTCCTTGTTGGATCCTCTCGCACGATGAGGATTTCCAAGGCCCTTGGTCAATGGAGTAGCCGGCGGATTCCACGCGGCCAGGGTCGAAGCCACCTTCTCATACTGGCTAGGAGGGGCCGAACTCTGTTCGATCATGGGCTGGGCAGGCAGGCAGGCCACGCCGGGTCCATACCGGCGCATCGAGGCCCGGGCCCTCTCCGTCAAGCCCCCGCGTGGGACTGCCTGCCTCGATGCCAAGGCCGGCCCATCGACCGGCTTGAGGCCATGTGTCCCATCATCAGCCGGACCAGGGGCCTTGGGTTCCCCTGCGTGGGTTCATTTGTCTGTCTGCCTGGCTGACTGTCTGCCTGCTTGGCCGGGGCGGTGGGTAGGTGCGCGCCCGCCTGGGTTGAGGCGCACCCAGACCTCGGAGGGTGGGCGACGCACAACCGCGTGCAGAGGGCGCGCGAGGGTGACCCGAGGTGGGGGAGGGGGGGGGAGGGGGCGACGATGAGGCAGCCAAACAATTACGCGGGGGAACAGCATGTAAGATGCTGCCAGGCGACGGCCGGGGCCGAAGGGGAGATGCACCTTGACTTTGCGATCCCTCATGCCGGGTATTTAAGCTTCCCGGTTGAGTGCCCTCAGCAGATCGATCCTCACACCCATCCAAGTCATAGCCGGCAGTCTCCTCGATTTGGGCTGCTCCCATCCACACAGACACCCCCCGCCCCCCGCCCCGACGTCGCCTCCTCCTTGACGTATCTCCCTCGTTGTCCTTCCGCTCTCCTCTTCCCAAACACCCGCACTGTCAAAGTCACCCACATGTGCTCGAATTCTACTTTCCCCCGCTGGGGCGTTACCTCGGTCAAGGCCGCTCTGGCCCTGCTCTGCCTGTCGCTGTTTGCCGTGTCGGGCAGTCATGCCGAATTCGCCCGGCGTAGTGGTACGCCCATGTTCACCCCGCCTGTGCCTCGCTGGATCCCAACTGGCTGGCTGCTACTCGCCAAAGCACACTAGCTGACATCTCTCTCTCTCTCTCTCTCTCTCTCTCTCTCTCTCTCGCTCTCTCCCCCCCTCCCCCCCGCGCTCTTGCTCGCGTCACTACCCGGTTTCCAGATGCTGTGGTTCCTCACCGCATGATGCTTCCCCGGCAGCTGTACCCTCTGCGGGGTGCGGCACGCGGCACCGACAGTCATTCCGTCCGCATGGCCGCCTCGTCCCTGGATACGGTCATGTACCGGAATGCTCGAGGGCTCGGTGTGCACAGCGATCGAGTTGAGGTCCAGGTCGAGCTCGACGGGGAGCCGATGAAGCTGGCCCTGACGGCCAACCCGGACTTCGATGTTTCGGACCTTGTGGTGACCATCCTCAATGAGGATGGCACCGAGACGCAAACTCGCGGCGCGGAGAATTGTCACTACGAGGGCCGGGTCATCGGCGTCCAGAACTCCTACGTCCGGATGTCTACCTGTGATGGGAAGATGGTTCGTTTGCCATCCCTTTGACACATCCCTGTCCCCAGCCCCATCGCCATTGCGACGCACACACGCCCACACGCCCACACGCCCACACGCCCACACGCCCACACGCACGCACACACACACACACACACCTCTGCGCCTCAAGCAAAAGGACCTACTTTCTGACCCATTCCCCGGTTGACTCGCTTGGTGTCTGTCGCCCTCCCGTCCCCGCCGGCAGTTTGGTATCATCACCGTCGGCGATGCCCCGGAGCAGCAGTTCTTCATCGAGCCGGCGGACACCTTCTTCGCTGGCACCAGCCGGGCCGATCGGCCGGACCACGAGCTATTCGCCCGCAGCGCCAGGGACCCGTCCGTCTCCCAGCAGCATGTTGTCTACAAGATGAGCGATCTCCAGCGGTTCAAGGCCGCGCGGATGGCCGAGCGCCGGCGCGCGGACGGCCTGGCCGAGGCCCCCACCTGTGGCATGTCCCAGGATCATGAGTGGCGCTATCGGCCAAGCTCCTCGGCGCATGCGGTCAACATCCAGCTCGATGCCGATGGCAATAGCATCATCTCGGATGCCGAGATGCGGCGCTTGGCCGAGCTGGGCCGCATCCTGGAGGTCCCGGTCAGCGAGATGACCCCGGCCGCGCGCCGGGAGTATGCCAACCTGTCGGCGGAGCGCACGGCCAACGACCTGGACGCGGCCGAGGCGGCGGCCGAGGCCGCGGCCTCCCTCGCCCGGCGCAAGACCACGCGCGGCGAGCCCGATGACACCGGCGCCCAGCGGGCCGCCTACTACGTGGAGACATTCTACTACGCGGACAGCCGGCTGGTCAAGCACCATGGCAAGAGCACCAACGACATGCGCAACTACCTGATCAACCTGGCCTACGTCGTGGATTCCATGTATCGCACTGGGTTCAGTCAGAACATCTACATCCTGCCCAAGGAGATCATGATCAGCAGCGGCTCCGATCCCTTCAGTGTCAGCAACAGTTCCGACTCCACCCTCAACAACTGGTCGCGCTATATGCAGGGCATCAAGGGCAAGAAGGGCTTCGACGTGGCCATCCACCTGACCGGCCTGGAGACCTGGAGCGGTGGGATCGCCGGCCTGGCGTGGATGTCCAATTCCTGCAGCTCGGCCTACTCGTCCGGCATTTCCATCGGTCGGTCCTTCTCCGACGCGGTGACCGTGGCCCATGAAATTGGCCACACTCTCAGTGCGCCGTACGTGTTCCACTGTCGACTCGGGATATTCTCGCCTCCGCCCCCCCCCCCCCTCTCCGCGATCTGTGCGGCGAGCAAGAGAGTGGGAATGCCCCCGGGGGGTGGGCGTCCGTGCCTGACCTTTGGCTCGGGCATGTTTCCCCCCTTCGTGGCTCGTTCTAACCTGTTCGCCTTCCGGCGCTTGTCATGTTCGGTTTGATGGGATTCTCGCACCCTGGCTTGTGTTGCCGCGCGGTGCCGCTTTGCGTTCCCACGTGTGCAGACACGATGGCTCCGGCTCTTCGGGATCTTGCAACTCGCGCAAGTTCATCATGAGCCCGTCCACCGGGTCCGGCATGCAGATTCCTTTCCGCTTCTCCACTTGCTCAGTCAGCCAGATCGAGCGCTACCTCCGGGGCGTGTCGTGCCACAACAGTGCGTTTTGGGTTGTTTGTCTTTTTCGTGCCACATACCCACCCTTGGTCTTTGGCCGAATCTGGGTCTATCGCGCCCCCCTCCCCCCGGCTTTAGGGAGGCGTGGCCACACCCCTGGCCATAGACCATGCAAGTCACTG